TCTTCCTTTGTTTCAATGTAAGCTGCTCACCAGAACTCGGAGGCAAAGGATCATTGCTTTCTAATTTCATTAATGACTTTCAAATAAAGCACAATGCAGCAGTCACCTGCCATTTTTATTTCCTAAGAGTCTATGAGACTTAGAGGCAGACTTGGGACAAATATGCTAGGCAAAACTAAAAGCTGCTTTGCAGCTTTAAAATTAAAATATATAAAGTCGGTTAGGTGGAGAGCCTGCCAAGCATTAAGGGCAGTTTCCATAAGCACACTGATGCCAATAGGCATCCTGTGAACTTGATTTTCCTTTGCAATAAACCTTGTCATTTTGAAGTGTTGTTGAAAGAAAAGTCTTCATCCTGGTTCATCCAAGCCGGGGATAAATAAACATCATGGCAACTGCTTTAGAAAGAAGGTTGCAGTTTATTGAAGAGGCAGAAAGATGGTTCTTGCAGGAAAGACCAGAGGAAAAAAGGGCTGAGCACATGGGTAGTAGGTTTTTATACCCTCTCTAGCCTTTTGTTTGGAATAGTTTCCTGTTCCTGTGGCATGAACTTTGAGGCTATTTCCTGTGTCACATATTCTGACCTGAGTTTAGGTGTGCCTCTCTGGTATTCTTGATGGTGATGGGTTAGTCTTATTATGTCCCATCTCAGGTGGGGTATGCAGATTTTAGGTATCTTTGTCTTCTTGATCTCCTAGCTGGGACCTTTCTGATGGTTTACATCTGCATTTGTATAGGGCTGGCTTCTGCTTGGGACAGAGAGATTTGGGGGCAGGGTTGGCTTCTGCTTTTAAAATCCTTTTGAGGAAATATATTTTTCTGCCCTTTTAATATTTCCTTCTCTGGGGGGCTGACTTCCCTCTGTCATAAATGACAGAGAGGGACTTGTATCTCTCTCTCACACATTCTCATTCTCCCCTCCCCCCTTTTTCTCATCCCTTCCTGTAAGGGAATGGCAGACAGAGATACTATGAGCTGCAATAGTTTTTCATCCAGCAGATCTGTAGCTATTACCAACCCATCCCTAGACCACTCCCAAATCATCTTTTTGTGTAACCATAGTCCTCTGAATCTAGCAAGCCCTGGGAGAGAGAGGTTTCTGTCACTGGATTTATCTCTCTTAACTTAAGAGGTCTTTCTCCAACCAAAATATATGGTCCTTGGGACATCATTCTGGAGATGTAGGACTACAGTGCCAGGTTCAAACATTTTTTATTTTTATTGCAGCTTCACTCTGCTTCCCTTAAAAGTCTCTCACAGTGCTCACATGACATTAAACTGGTTAAATAATCAGTGAAAATAATAGAAGAACAGAGCTGAACTAGACCTTGGAGGTCATCTAGTCCAACCCCCTGCTCAGGCAGCAAACCCTATACCATTTCAGATAAATGGTTGTCCAATCTCTTCTTAAAAACCTCCAGTGTTGAAGCACCCATAACTTCTGGAGGCAAGTTGTTCCACTGGTTAATTGTTCTAACTGTGAGGAAGTTTCTCCTTAGTTCTAGGTTGCTTCTTGCCTTGATTAGTTTCCATCCATTGCTTCTTGTCCTGCCTTCAGGTGCTTTGGAGAGGAGGTTGGCCACTTCTTCTTTATGGCAGCCCCTTAGATATTGGAACATTGCTATCATGTCACCCCTCGTCCTTCTCTTCATTAAACCAGACATATCAGTTCCTGAAATCGTTCTTGTTTTAGGTTCCTGACCCCTAATCATCTCTGTTGCTTTTCTCTGCACTCTTTCCAGACTCTCAACATCTAGAGTTTGATCAACATATCAAAAGGATATATTTAATTCTCTTTTAATGAAAGATAAGTTTTAAAATGAATAACTCCACCTTCTTTTTTAACAAATATCTCAAGGGCTGGAAGGAAGAGCCAAGTATTCAACACCTTCTCAAAACCTATAGTGGGGGACTGATTAGATTCCCAAGGGGTAAAGAGATGGGCGGCCATCCCAAAGGCCCGCTTCTGGACCCAAGCCCTTCTGAGGCTACCATGACTCCTTTCCTGGTGAAACTCCTGAGTAGATTGAATCTGATGGAACCTGGGGTCCAAGGCATATAAGACATAAATAGGATTATGAATTTAAGCATAGCAAAAGGTTTCTTTCTTTTGTTCAATCTATTGCAAAACCAGAAATAGGATAGGCTTTAACCATGGGAAGAATGGAAGATCAGAGGCAAAATGCAGGTTGTGTTTTATGGACTCAGGTAGCTGATTTTGCCTGCTGTAAGTCTTGACTCAGAAATAAACCCATGAAATATGGCTGTTGACAGATCTATCAAGTGACATCTGCATGTCCACAGGATATACAAGCTAGAACATAGGAGCTAAAGATAGATAATGGGGATAGGGTTTTTCAAAGTTCACTGGATGAAATATTGATGTGATCCAACAAGTTTTCTCTCTCCTTTATCATGTGCTTTTTATGAATTGTGATACAAAAGTTCCCCTGAACAAAGGCTTATCTATCATGCTGTAGTACAGTGGTTCTTAACCTGGGCAATATTGCCCCCCAGGGGGTGATTTCATTTTTCAGGGGGGCGAAGGAACGAAAAGGGGGATATGGGAGCAATGGAGTGAGAAGTTTTGGGGACACTTTTGAGACTTTTTTATACAGTGAATCGCTGTATATCTGTCGTATAAAAAATCAGATCGCTCGCTATTAGTGGATTGAATTGTTTTCAAATGTTCCTCCAGCTAGCTTCAGTACAGAACACCATACATATGTGAAGACACATCGCTTATCTTCATATGCGTTGCACAGCAGCCTCTTCCCATACATTGGCCAGAATATGGGAGATATGGGAAAAAGACTGGAAATAAATTATTTGCATCGATATGTCCTGATGACAATTTTAAAGAAAATGAAAAAAGTGTTTGCATAAATTGAAGAATTATTTCCTATGTTGTGATTGGGATGTTATGTTGGGGGAGTGGGGCGATGACAACTTCCTCATTGGCTCGAGGGGGTGATTTGTTCAAAAAGGTTAAGAACCACTGCTTTAGTAGATATCGGCCTTCTACAACTTGATTTTCTCCAGATGTAATTAAACAGTAATTCCCAGTCAGAATTATGAGAAGGCTAAATTATATGGGAAGGGTAAATTATACGACCTTTTTGTTCGCTCTAACAACTTTCTCCTATTTAAAAATGAGTTATATGCAAGAGCACAATGAAAGAGTAGAAGCATACATGTGAATAAGAGGCCACATTCAGATTTTTAAAATTTAATGTCGATCGCCTCCATGTGAAACAGAAGGTGAATGCACAAAAAGCTAGTGCTAAATGATGCCCGAAGTGATAGGTATTGCAGAAATATTAACCATCATGTTTGTCTGTAGCATTGTGAGCTAGTTCTAAATGCAGTGGAAACTTCTCCCTTTGGACTCTGGACAGCCACTTCAGGCAATGCTCCCCAGTATCTGCAAATTCAGTCCAGGCAGCCTGGGCTGCAAGCCAACAATAACAGCGCAGAGATTAATGAGTCAATTTCACCCACTTTGCATTCCTAAACAGTGAGCAGAAAATTCCTGCGGTAGCTTGCAGACTTAACAACAGCATGATCTTCTATGTACTCTCTCATCCTGGGAATGCACTAGAGACTTTTAATAATACCGGTCAGAATTTAAAGGGCAACAAGTATGCTTGGAAAATATTAGCTATGGTGCATAAAAAGGAATAAACACACACAAGGGATGAGTAGGAAAAGGTGTCCTTTTGGCACTCTGTACTGGAAACAACTGGAAGCAACTGTTGGAGAAAACCAACTCTTCAGCCAGACAGGAGCATAAAAAAGAGCAGGTGTTTCATTATGAGAATCAATAAGACAGACTACCTGCATCTATTGTTGCTTTATGGAAGAATTGATCTAAATATGTGAACATCTTTCAGTGAGCCACAACAGCAACAAGGAAAAGAAAAATCAGAACTGTTATCTATGTAGACTTAAGGCTGCTACATCTATTGAATTTCTCTTTATGCTGCCCATGTGTGTTCCTATTACGTTCTTTCTTCTCCATCGTGGGAGAATGTAGGTTTGTCTTACCCTTTAAATAGTTACCAAATGAGGCAAAAAGGAAGCTGCAGCCCAAAACCTGCAGAACAAGACTAATCCTGCTGCTTTTAAGCTACCTCATGGCCAGAATAAATAAAAAAAATTTTTCATTTCGTGCTACATTTGGAAGAAGGATATTGTTGGCCTTCTTAGGTTCTATCTTCTGATTGTGGGCCCTTAGAGGTTTTTGGAGTTGAGCTCCATCGTCCCCAGTTACTGGTGACATTCTACTTTTGCGAAAAAGTGATAGCTAGAAATAGGGTTATGAAATAATCCATGTAGGCATTTCCAATGTAATTCCTGATATCATAATAAAAATGTACTGAAGGAGCCCACGAAAGGCTCAGCTGAATCCAGTCAGATTTCCCGTTACCCACTTTTAGAAGTGAGAAATCATCAATTCTAGAACCAGATTAGGAAACCTAGATACCTCTTCAGATGTTTTGGATTACCAAACCAAGCCCCCTTGCTAATGGCCCTACTGGCTGGGAGAAATGGAAGCTGAAATCCCATACAAGTCGAGGGAATTATAATTATCTATCTCAGAAAAAGTGCAAAGATGCTTTATGGTAGTGTTTCTCAACCTTGACAATTTTAAGGCATGTGGACTTTAACTCCCAGAATTCCACAGCCAGCAATGCTGGCTGTGGAATTCTGGGAGTTAAAGTCCACATGCCTTAAAATTGTCAAGGTTGAGAAACACTGCTTTATGGGAAAGGAAGACCTCAAAGTGACAGGAAACACACTTCATCTCTCCTGTCTCCATTTTAAAAAGGATTTCAGAGAGGGAAGCACTGGAAAAGCTCTCTAGCTGAGACCCTGAAAAGTCTCTTCTGGTCCAGATATACCGAGCTAGATGGGCAAACGTAAGATTCCAACATATGTCAAATAACAACCAGGTATTTTGCTGCTGGTGACGTACTTGAGCCCAGGAGAGGAAAAACTTTTTTTTTTGTTTTGCCTGCATGCATTACAGGGCTGCAGTCTTGCTTTCTGTTTCATTCTGGAGTTTTGTCCAAGCGATCCAGCACACAGAATGGTCTGACAGGCGCCAGCATCAGTTCCACCGAAAGAGGTCCTTCCCTTTCATTGCTGCTTTTTTGTTTTGATTATTATTTTTTTATATTTAAAAAAGACACTCAAACACTTCTAAAAAAATCCCCCATCTTTTCTCAAAATTTTGGATGTCTAGCTTTGTGCCTTTGAAGAAGAAGGAGGAGGAGGAGGAGGAGGAGGAAGAAGAAGAAGAAGAAGAAGAAGAGGAGGAGGAGGAGGAGGAGGAAGAAGAAGAGGAAGAAGAGGAAGAGGAAGAAGAGGAAGAAGAAGAAGAAGAAGAAGAAGAAGAAGAAGAAGAAGAAGAAGAAGAAGAAGAAGAAGAAGAAGAAGAAGAAGAAGAAGAAGAAGAAGAAGAAGAAGAAGAAGAAGAAGAAGAAAGACACTTCCTTTGTTCACCACCCTGAGCAGCAGTCAGATCCACAGGCGCATGAGGAAGAAAGATCCCTTGGTGTCCCTTGACTCCTTTGTGACACTTCAGAGGGAGGCAGCTTTGTGAAACAGCAGAAAAAGAAGCCGGAGCCCCTCATTTGGTAGTGAAGGAAAAAAGCACCATGACAACGATGCCGGCGCAGAGGCAGAAGACTTGTTGCACCGAGTTCCTAGGCAAGGAAAGGAGAAGAAAAAGACAGTCGTGAAATTTATGTCAGGCTCACCCTCTTATTTATTTACTTTTTATCTTTCCTGGACCTCTCTCTCCCACCACTCCATTACAAGTTGTTGTGGGTACAAAACAGGTAAGAGCTTCCAAAGAAAAGGTGGGTTACAAATCAATTGCCGCGCACCAGGGATTATTAGCGGCCGAGGCCCTATGAAAGAAACTTACAACATGGCATCATAGTTTGTATTCCTTTTGCACTTTTCAAAATAAAAGTTTTGATTTGTGCTCTGATGCCACAGAACCAGTCTTCTGGATTTCCCAAAGAAATCTGAAATGTCTGAAAAAGATGGTTTTCCAGGCACATTTTTTTTTCTTCTGTTTATGATCGGTCATTTTTTTTTTCAGGAAAGCCCCTACTGCTGCAATGTCCCATTCCCAACACCTGATAAAGCTCATTAAGAAAAGTGGAAGTGTGGACAAGTGCTGCAGACTCAGGCAGTTTCCAGAATGAAATGCTGGGCCCCGGCACCAAACATCTGGCTGAGCTGCTTGCAAGCAGTCCTCAACTTATGACCACAATTGAGTCCAACATTTCAGTTGCCACGTGAGACAGTTGTTAAATAGGCTTGGCCCCGTTTTATGACCTTTCTTGCCATAGTTGTGAAGTGAACCACTGCAGTTGTTCAGTCAGTAACATGGTTCTAAAATGAACCTGGTTTCCCCCCGTTGACTTTGCTTATCAGAAAGGTTGTACAAGGCGATCACGTGACTCTGGTACGTTGCGCCCATCATAAATATGAATCAGTTGCCAAGCATCCGAAACTTGATCACATGACTATGGGGATGCTGCAATGGTCATATGTGTGAAAAACAGTCATAAGTTGCTTTCTTTGATGCTGTTGTAACTCTGAGCCATCACTAAGCAAACCGTTGTAAGTCAAGGATTAGCTGTAATAGGCAGCCACTGACATTCATCTGGGCTGGCTGTTTTAATCACACTGCTACTCACGGCCCTGCCTTTGGGGTCAAATTCTCTTTCCAAATTCTCCTCAGGACCAGCTTCATGTGGGTAGCAATCCTTAGCAGCAAAGGCAAAGGAACTTCATAGAGCCCCGTCCTCATTAAAAAGTTATGTCACAAAGCTTTTCTAGTCTTCGGGGTTTCAAATGACTCTCTTTTGTTACGGCTATTCAAGATTTTCTTCGTTAAAAAAAACAATTCATTAGAGCAACTCTTACCACAGATTCTTCTCTTCCAAGAGATCGGGCACCACGTTGACCAACGCAATGTACAGGAATCCTCCAGAGGTGAAAGGGAGAATCCAAGCGATGGTTTCCCCTGAAGAGAGGATGGACAGCACATTACTATCCAAGGGATGCCCGTATTTTATATTCTATGCCAGGGGTCCTCAAACTTGGCCACTTTAAGACCTGTGGACTTCAACTCCCAGAATTCCCCAGCCAGCACCTGGTAAAGTTGGCTGGGGAATTCTGGGAGTTGAAGTCCACAAGTCTTAAAGTGGCCAAGTCTGAACACATCTAGAGCCAAAGGCAATGGAGCTTCTAAGCCATCTGCGGTGCGTTCTAAGAACCTTACCTGTCCCTTTGGGTGACTGAGTACAGATGGCAAAGCAAGCGCCCAGGATGCCCCCAAGAGCTGTAGAAAGTTGTAGCTTGGCTGCACTCCAGCGATCAAATCCAGCCCGGAGGAGAATGACAAAATCCCCCACCTACAGATAGGGAAAACAGACTGTAGCATTCAGGAGTAAGGCACCCAGTATGAAAATGGTACGGTGGGCTGTGATATGTTACTTAAGGCCGCTGTTCCAGGGAGGGTGGGGTGACTTTGCTTAAAACCGGGCTCTGGAGGGGGCTAATCAACTGGGGCTTAGCAATCTGCTTGTTTGTTATTTTTATTAAATAAGCAGGAAAACAACAGGAAAAGAAAAAGAATATATACAGATAGTCCTCGACTTACAACCATTTATTTAGCAACAGTTTGAAGTTACAATGGCACTGATAAAAGTGACTTGCAACCAGTCCTCACACTTATGACCACTTCAGCATCCCTAGGTGTCAAGGTATTGATTTAAAAGCTAACCAGCTTATGTAATGTAAGATGTAATGATGGGGATGACTCAGCAGGGTCTGTGTCTCTTTAAGAGCCTTATATAAAGGGAAGGATCTGCTGATGTGCTCTCCTCTCTTCCATTTCCTGCTGTAATTGTGGTTTGTTGGATCCTGCTGTATTACCACATGTATGTATATTGTTCTTGGTATATAATATTGTAGATGGTGTTAGATAAACCACCATTTAATATAGACCTCCATTTACTGTGTTTACTCCTGGATTATCTCGCGCAATAAGACTGTGCACGCTCTAGCACTAGGGTCAAATGATCAGAATTCGGGGGCTTGGCAACTGGCGTGTGTTTATGATGGTTGCAGCCTTTCCAGGGTCACATAATCACCATTTGCGACCTTCCCAGCTGGCTTCTGACAAGCAAAGTCAATGGGGGGAGCCATATTCACTTAATAACTGCATGATTCACTTAATGACTGCGTCGAATCATTTAACAACCCTTGGTAAAATCATCATAAAATTGGGCGCCGCTTTCTTAACAACCTTCTTGCTTAGGAATAGAAAGTTTGGTTCCAATTGTGGTCATAAGTCAAGGATTATCTGTACAGTAAAAAAAAAAAAGTACATAACATAGTAATCCTTAGTCATCTATGCTGTTATTTGTCTTTTTTTTGCTGTTGTTGCGGTTGCCGTTAATATTATTATTACTGTGCATTAAGCTTTGCACTAAGGGTGCCCTCATAGTTAAGTAGCACTTAGGAGATAGGAAAAGAAGGAGAGAAAAAAAAATAAGAGAGGGACTACTGGAATGCTTTTTTTCCTATAATGTCAATAATATTGATATTATGCAAAATATTATTATGCTGATTATGAATTTCCCCTTCCCCTCCAATTAATGGGCTGAATTTTTCCACCAACCATATCTCAGCCTAGGATTTACTGTGATAAGATAGGCTTGAAACATTTTAATAAATACGTACAATTAAAGAAATTCCAAGATTCAGAGCTGCGAGTAATTAATGACAAAGCCTAAGCTAAGATACAATGCACTGCTTTTCTCCAACACACAGGCCTGGAAATGCACTGAAACATCTAGATGTGGTTTAGCCTGGAGAGCGCCAGATTGGGAATATAGTTTTTTGGTTTTTTTGCCTTATAAAAGAAGACAGCTCTTCTGCTTGCTTCATAAGAAAGGATGCTAAGCCATATCTACCATCTGCTATACCCTTATTTTGGCAATGAGGAAACAAAAAGATCAAGATGTGTTCCCATCCACTGATGGCCTTTCCCCTCTCTTCCAATATTAATGTTCACACTGTATTACCAACAGAAGAAAAGGTTTGTCTGCTCGTGGCTTACATCAGTCTGCACAGCTCTCTGTGTTACTGACATATGTGTATCTACCCAGGATTTCTGCTCAACATGAGCTCAGCTTCCCAGCACACATATTCCAGATACACTCACCTCGTGGGGTATCTCATGTAGAAGAATTGCCAGGGTTGTAAGGAGCCCAACCTAAAAATCAAGGAGACAAAACTAGCTACGAGAAATTTTTATAGCTCAATAGGGTGGCACTAGCAGCAATACATGGTTCTCCCTGGGCTTTCTGTGGGTAATAAAGAAACAGCTCTTTTATATCCAACAATGATCTATGCAGTTTTAGCATTTAGAGTACTAATAGGAAATACCCAAGTGGAATTTGGAGGCTTTGTTGTAAATATTAAAGAGGAACATGGAAAAAAGATGAAATTGTTTCCTAAATATTATGCACATCTTCTAACGGAGTATGAATAGACAATCTGTGGCCCAGAACCTCATGAGGTCCTCAACCTTAAACAACAAAGCCTGAAGAGTCCTTCTTCCTGGCCAACTGATCCTTTTAATCATCTACATAGCTAGCTGGCACAAATCACTATCTTTCTGTTGCCATAATCAACAGGAAACTAAACAATCCAAACTTTGCCAGTCATGTGACTATTTGATCAGTTGATTGGCGGAATCAAATCAAGGATTTCCTGCTGCTGACAATGCCATGAATCAAGTTATTTGTTTACAGAGAAAGGAGTATGATGGAGAGCTTAAGTGAATAACGTGTGTTTGATGGGTTGCATTAAGTGTATGTGTTACAATGAATTTTCATGTATGTGATGCCTCCGTTCCCCTAGGCTGGCCATCACATCCTTTCATGCTTATATATCATAAGCCACCCAGATTTTGTCTCAAGTTGGTTGGCGCTGAAATCAAATGAATCCTCATCATCCTATGTAATCTTGGGGTCAAAAGTTGTGTTTATTTATATATGATTAAAACGACATCCTGGTTTTTTGTCCACATACAGTTAAGGCAGCTTACAAAATTAATATATATATATACTATAAAATGAATGAACAAAAAAAGCAATTAACCTAGCAAGCAAGTGACAAATAGTGCTGATCTTTTAAGAAAGATAGTATATGAGTCCTACATTTTGCAGCCAGATAGCTGTCTAGTTGCCACCCTTTACATTCAGTACCACTCTTGGACACTTCACAAGAGCAGACAGAGCTTTGCTGCATCCTCTCCCATGGAGTAGGATTACTCTATGAACTTCCACTACATGTTCAATGTAATTTGTCCTAAGAGTTCTTCCAGTTGCATTTGAAACCTCCTCCGTTGTACTTCATTGGGAAGAAGGCAAATCCTCTGGGCCATCTCCTTATTTTGCAGATCTGTCAAGGCTTTAACTCTGTTGTCAAAATGAAAGCAAGAAATTCCCCAAGCATATTTAGCAAACCCCTGGATCTATTACATGCTTGGGCTGGACTATTTTAACTCTACAATGGTTTACAGCAGCCATTAATCTAAACTGACAGGACAGTAATCTGTCCAAGAGAATGGAATTAAAACAGTTCCTCCATTTTGGGATCATGGGAACCAATCAAATACCACACCTGCTATATGTCCTATATAAGTGCAGCCAGAACAAACTGGGCTAGATCGATGGTCATGGTGACCTGCAATCCTAAGCCTTCCTACTTCACAACTTTAATATGGACACTTAAGTCTTTCAAAACAAGAAGTGTAGAATAGTTGCCTGACAGATATCATCCTGATTAGCTTATAAAGAGATACTGTTGTGCAACAAGATGGACAGTGCACCACAGTATCCCTGCACTGCCCAAGCCACAACCTAAAGGTAGCAATAGATATTCAATATAAACAGACTGGATATTGGATAGAGATGGAATTCTTAGTATGTTCGTATTAAAAGTAAAGGAAGCAACATATTTGGGAATAGGGCACATGTCTTTTTAAAACATCTTCATGTTGCTAAAGGAGAGCTGGTGTCCTAAAGAAGTGAACTTACCTTTCTGCTGACCAGGAAGCTGGCTGCCACTGCCAAGCCATGTGTGAAATTATCTATTGTATTGGCCAAGAGATTGAGATATCCACTCATCTGCCCAGGGCAAAGGGGAGGGATGAAGAAGAACAAAAAGAAAGGAATTCAGAAGCTTCAGGATTAACCAACAACGTCATTTTCACAAGCAAAGGAGAAAACATTTATTTCATTTCTAGTTTTTGCTTACATGTACCTTAGCTTTTGCATAAATGTTGTTTTGCATAACGTTGCTTGCCACAGATGAGCACAGGTAGTCCTCAATTTACATGCACAATTGAGCCCAAAATATCTGTTTGCTAAGTGAGACATTTGTTAAGTGAGTTTTGCCCCATTTTATGACCTTTCTTGCCTCAGTGTTGTTAAGTGAATCACTGCAGTTTTTAAGTTAGTAACACAGTTGTTAGGTGAATCTGGCTTCCCCATTGACTTTGCTTGTCAGAAGGTCGCAAAAGGAGATCACATGATCCCAGGACACTGCAACCGTCATAAATACGAACAAGATGCCAAGCATCCACAACTTGATCACATGATTATGGGGGTGCTGCAATGGTCGCAAGGGACGTTGTAACTTTGAACAGTTACTGAATGAACTGTTGTGACTTCTTGTATAGTTGTGCAGAAAGGCACATCTAGTCAAACTGTATTTTTTAGTGAATCCTTATGTTGACAGAGCCTGACACAACAGCTTCATGATATAAAGCTAAACACAATATATTTCTATAAATTTGAATATAGACTTAGTATTTATGAGCTGTTGACAACAATGAACATGACAAGTGCAGATGAATAAACTATAGTTGATTCAGGGTTACTTCTTTTTCTAACTGTAACATTCTTAAGGCAAAAAAAAAAAGGTGATCAATCTCTTCAGCCTACAAGGAAATAAAATCAATACCACAGATAAACAATACTCTGATCTTCTAACCTCTCAAGTTGTGATTGTTGTCGTCTCTACTTCCAACAACCACTGGGTTTCTCCAAGCAGTTGTCTGAACATTTGAAAATGAAGCTAATTCACTGTTACAAAGAGGGAGAAAGGTATAAAAATATTGAACCAATTTTAACTAGGAGAGACAAGAGTTAAGAAATAGATATTCTGAAAAACGGAAGCCATATATCAACGCAAACAACCTGCTTAAAAGTTCAGCTAAAACTGGAATAGTTATCAAGAGGTTCACAGCATTGCTTACGCAACGATGATCTGCTTGGAAGATTTGTCAGTGGGAAACCTCTCTTTCAACTTTGTCATTAAAGTCAGATAGAAGAAAACTTTAATCCAGAAACATTTGGAACAAAGCACTTTTTACTGATGAAATAAAAAGTGAACTGTTCAGTCATAACCACATAGGATAGATCAGAGAAACATCTGAAGAAAAAAAAAGTTTCTTGGCCAATAATTATGTTCTGGGCTTACGTGGCAGAGAGTGGCACAAGAAATATTGTCCCGATGGCACGGTTCCATCTAAACCTCACTGGGTCCTAAAATTAACAACTCATTGTCAGTGAAGAAACTAAAGCTAAACAGAAGTTGGATATTTCAACATGATTTGAAATACACGTCCCAATCCACCATGAGTTATTTACAGGAAAAAATGATAAAGCTTTTAGTAATTTAGTAATGGCCTTCACTTTACCCAGACTTGAATATTATGGGAAACCTGTGAGGAGATTGTGGAATATCAGTTTTAGTGACCTGGGATAGCTGCAGTACTGCTCATGGGAGCCAGCTTCTGCAGTGAGTAAAAGGGGAAAAGATAGCTCAGTTTTGGCCTTGAATGGCAGCCGGGCTATCATGATGGCTAATATGCAGACTAGCTGGTCTGTTGTGGTGAAATGTTGAGACAGCAGTCCCATAGGTGTTGGGGATTAGAGACGGGGAGACCTTCCTCCTCAGTTGTTGAGGGGAATGCTGCTGATTTGGCTAAAAATTGGAAAGGGAGAAAGGAGAGGAGAAAAGGAGAGAGAGGCGAAAATCTATCCAGAGAGTGAATATAGTGGCTGGAGAGAAAAGTTGGCGAAAGAAGTTAAATGTCTGAGGCAGTTGTCGGTTTCTGACTAAGAAGGGAGAAGATCCAGGCGTGGCTTTCCTGGAGAAAGAGAAATGAAGGCCCAGAGGGACTAAAGCTTTACCCAAGACCCTAGAACAGTGTTTCTCAACCTTGACAATTTTAAGGCATGTGGACTTCAACTCCCAGAATTCCACAGCCAGCAATGCTGGCTGTGGAATTCTGGGAGTTGAAGTCCACATGCCTTAAAATTGTCAAGGTTGAGAAACACTGCCCTAGAATAAGAAGGACTGGCTGCAGGCAGCGGAGGAGTGCATCAGCTGTCATGGAAACGCCAGGGCAAAACATTAAAGCCCATTCCTTTCTTTCCTCTCTCTCTCTTATCAAGCCCAGAAATGGGGAAGGGAATCAGAGAGAAAAGGGGAGGAAGGAGAGATAGAAGGGGATAGTCTCTGGGAGGGAGACTTAGGAGGAAACCCAACACTGGGACTGTGTTGTAAATATTTGTTGCAAACATTTGTTGTAAATAGTTTTTTTTTAAGCAAAAAAGTATCTACTGTGTTGTTTTCTGTGTTGCAAAAGAACAATACACCATCCATTCAAAAAGAACCCATACCACATGGCGACAGAGAGCAATAATGCAGTGCAGGTACAGAAACCTATGATATGAATATTTCTGAGCTAGGAAAGTTCTGCAAGAGAAAGGGGGAAATTCCAATGAATACAGTAGAACAGTGTTTCTCAACCTTGACAATTTTAAGGCATGTGGACTTCAACTCCCAGAATTCCACAGCCAGCATTGCTGGCTGTGGAATTCTGGGAGTTGAAGTCCACATGCCTTAAAATTGTCAAGGTTGAGAAACACTGCAGTAGAAAGACCTCTGTTGACTACAGGAAATGTGAGAAGCTGTTATTCCTGCCAAAAGAGGTATTACAATGCTGACTAAATACCCAACTTCTGAAACTTGCCATATTCGCTACTATCCTATTCTTAATTGGCAACAGTTGTACCTGAAGAACTTGATTTCAAGTTTGCAGGAAATAGTGGTGTTTACCTTTGTAGAGGTTGTGCCAGCTTTTGTTCATTTACGGATCCATTGAATCATACAGTTTGATTAGGGTGCCTAAATTTTTGCATGCAAACTATTCACATAGTAATACTTTTATTCTGTAAACCTTATGCTGGTCTGTGACTGGAATAAAGATCTTTATTTTCTCTGAGTACAAATTTACATAATATAAATGCATTCATGCTAATAAAGACATGAATAAATATTTTGAATATGGGATCAAGGAGGTACATTGCTTTGGAAACAGCGACATGGAATTAAGTGATGTCCCTAGAAACACACAAATATAACATCCAGCCGATTCAGCATTACTGCATTTTGACGAGCATAACGCTATATGCCCTGATAGTTCTCAACAAGAACACAGCATCTATCCCTTAGCATGTGTGACCAAGTTCCTCAATTGGAAAGTGTATTTTTAAGAATACAGAGTTCCTGCACTGCAGAAAATAGCATTCCTCTAGCGATTGCAGAATAAGAATATTGTTAAAATCCAGACACTGGCTGTTTATTAAGGCTGTGCAACCATCTGAATTCAAAGAGGAAAAAAAAAAAAAGGAATTAGGTATATGTCTGCATGCACATGTCACCCCTGTTGGAACATCTTTAAATCAAATGTGTCTTTTGCTTCTTTATGGAAGGTATTACAAATCAACTTTTCCCCTTTGAATCCAGACCACTTACTTAGTCCTATTCTCTCTCTAAACCTAGCCTTACAAAGAATTAAAGTTAAGGAGAATATACTTGGGGACCAGGTATATGGGGCATTGAGATTGAGATGGTACCTTAGTTCAGTGGCAAAGGGTATCTTTTGTATATGCAAAATCTCAGATTTGCAATCCTTGGGATCTCCTATACAAGGAGGCAGCCAGAACAGATAAACCTTGCACATGTGAAAATGGGATATACAGGATTGGGTGTCTTTAATAGTCTATAAAGCAGCTCTATATTTTATAGTGCAAAGTGTAACAAATGGAAAGTTTGCTTTTCTTTAGGATCCTATCCCACTTGTTTATTTTCAACAGGCCATGAGCTTCTTTTCAGTGTTTTTCTTCAAGTGGTTTATTTTATCTCTCTATGGGCCATGGCTCTCTAGAGCCCATCAAGAAATGTTTTACCTTGATTTTCTGAGCTGATGATGAGAGTAAATGAGAAGACCCATTACAATGAGCAGTGCTCGACTTCTTTCTTTGGACTGGAGCATTTGCCTCTTGCCTACAGAAGCTGCCATTCACGGTCCTTTCGGTAACCGGTTTGCAATTATTGATCTAAATCATGGAGAAATGGCTGAACTTTATGCGTCTCCATCAAACAGTGGCTAAGAGGTTTCTCTTATTCCCTTTAAAACATCCCATTCCAAATGCAACACACAAGGTATCATTTTGAATATATACTAGGAGAGAGTAAAGTCACACAAATTAAACACCTTTATATACTCCAAACATTGCTGTGGAAACAAAATCAATATCATTCACTCCAGTTTCTCTAACTCTACCCCAAACCACACACTTAAAAAAAAAGAACCATGAAAAATTGCTGTTTTGAAATTTGCAAGACACTTCCAAAAAAGATGCTTCAAGCGCCCAGGGGCAATAAATGTAGCATCTGCCTGCAACTCTTTAAAAGCAACTCTGCCTTTCCATGGGGCTCTCCCTCCAAAGCTGCTACATGATCCCAGACAACAATGTGGGCGCTTTGAAGAACAGCAGACAGGTGCTACATCTGGATCCTTCGGCGCCGTAAAGCCTATTTTGGGTATCAAAGCACCGCGCAGCTATAGGATACACACATACAACTTTCAGAAACTAGATATTCGCAACAGTTTATGCTCAGTGCAGAAGCAGAGGGCAGAAACGGAAAAGAGAGAAATTCGACACAGTGCCTAAAGCTCTTCACTATTAGTAGAAGATTCTTATGGGGCACAATAAATGAATAAATGCCTTTCTTCTCCCCCCATAGTTTTTATACACTGAATTCCTAAACCATGAAAGAAGCTTCAAAGAAACAGATGGGATAAAGTGTCATGCGGAGCAAAGAGCAGCATATCATGCCGTATCTAAAGTGAATTCAAGTGCTCCTTCCACAGTCCACTCACCAAGTTGGCGCTTCCTTGTTTTTCACTATATGGGAACATCTTCTGCAAACTCAGGAAGGTCAGTAGGCCAATGATCACCCAGAGCCCCAGAAGCTTCTGCTGTTGGAAGCTCTGCCCTTCTCCTTGTAAGGGTGGGGAGAAGAAGTAGAGCAATCAGTTCCTGCTGTACCCCTAAAAATCATGGCTGCACATGATGATTCTTCACAGCTCTAAGTATCCCTAGGGAAACTGATTCCGTAGAAGGCAAGTTTCGTTGCTTTATTGTACCCACAAAAGCTGGGTACCAGAAAACATAATTTGAAAAAGTATGATCTATTTATAATAAAAGTACCATAGGCTGTAATAAAAATTGTGAGAAAGGCCTAATTGTAGCATATTGATAATATAGTATCCAGCATGGAGTTTGTACTCTTGAAAAAAAATAATCTGATTTTCATCTTTCTAAAAGTCTGATTGTGGTTAATCACTTGAAAGTATTTTTTTTTTTAAAGTTAAGGGCTTGTAAGTTTGCATAACCCTGTTTCCTTCTGGCTATTACTGTATATTTAACTCCTTTTCTTCCTAGATTCTTCATTGATGTAATTTCCTACCTATTCAGGTTTTGCTATGGAACGTTGATTTTATTTTTTGAAAGCCCGAGTCCTGAAAGCTGTGTGTTTTATGCATTAGCCTTCGAACAAGACTAGGATTTATTGAATAAAGAATCATGTACAGCTCCGGCTATAACCATGAATGTTCAAAGCTGAAAATTTAGCATCCAAGCCTTCTCAAATTATATGCTTGCAATAGCTAATATAGCCTCCTGGCATAGCCTGGCAAGTTCTTAAATAGTACCTTTGATTAAACGGACTGCAGTCAGCTTCACGCTCTTGACTGTAGCCGAACAAGCATGGCAGGCAGACATGTGTGAGATGAGGAAGCCCAGAGGCCAGATAAGAAAACAAATGAGACACATTCCAGAAGAATCGCCCCTGACAGCTTTAAGAAAGATAACCTCTGCAAATTCAAAGCAGACAGCAAAACAAGGACAGGTGCTTCTCTTAATGGTGCTCCTGGTGTGCTACAAGGTCAGAAGATCCCATTTCTACTAATCAATCTGTTAATTATAGGGCTTTGCTCCCTCGCCATCCAAGAGTGTTATAGCACACGAAGATTCAGGAGCTGTGTTCAATTTGTCTATATTTTACCTTATTGCCCCTATAGATACACACTGGCTGTGCCTGATTCTTTGTCATACCAGGCCCTTCTATGATTGCAACCCCCCAAAATGAATCCGTTCCAGAATCTACAACACATCTTCACAGACGTGATGAAGTGGACCCGTCTCATAATCTTGATATAGGCTTGAGTGTTACCTGCAGCAGCACTACAAGTGTAGGTCCAGGCTTCCGGAAGCAAGTGGAGAAACACATTTCCCAGAAGCCCACCGACAGCAAAACTCAACAGCTGTTTCATTCGATGGGATCCCTCTGAAAAACAAATAGCAGCCAGTCACTGCAGGGTTTGCGCTTATTCTCCTACACATGACAAGTCTCAGAAGACATTTGCATACAATAGATACAGATACAGCTATTTAATCAACTCAGATCCATTGCTTCCAACAAAACACTTATAAACTTTAAACTCTAAGTCAGGAGTCCCCAACCCCCGGTCCACGGACCGGTACCGGGCCGCGGCATGCCAGAAACTGGTCCGCACAAACAAGCAAAGCCCCATCCACAGGATGCAGGCAGCACACAAAACCATGCTCTCTCTGGTCTGTGGAAAAACCTCTCTCCACGTAACCGGTCTCTGGTGCCCCAAAGATTGGGGACCTCTGCTCTAAGTTGTACTTTTGAGAACAGCAAAAGCTGCACACTGGGAGGTTCCCACTGCCATCTGTGTTGGACCCAATAGAAAAAAAACAAGATAGTTGACGTCTGGCCCTTTGGCAAATAAACAAGTTATGGGTATTCCAAAGATCTGATCACTTGCTAGAGAATATATTGATTGATTTAACCCACACACGTATTTAAGATGTAAGACAACACAACTGGGTGGGCACTGGCAAAAACTGAAAAGCTACTGAGAAGGTACCGAGTTAGCTTTCTTGTGGCCAGTGAGTAGAGCTTCAATCTTCTGTCTGATATTTTGGTCATTGCTATAACTAATGGAAATCAAATGGTACAAACTGCTCAGGTACATGCAAAAGCACTTCCTTATCTTCCTTTAAATAAATCAGAGAATTCCATTTCTTGGGTTGCGAAATTTTGGTTAACAAGATAAAATATGACGGGTGAAGTCCAAAGTGACTTTTAAACTACTCAGTGAACAAAACATGAGGCCTCACCTTTAGCCATGACGTTACTTTGCAAAACGACAAAACAGATTATTATCACATTTCAAAGAAGGAGCATTACATGGCCATAAATAGCACTCAGCTACTGCTTTAAACATACAGGCCTTCTCTAGTGTTCACTGACTGGGGAGAACAGGCACAAATGATAGGCAAGATTAACAAGAAGGCTTTGCTGAAGAACTGGTCTACCTTCTGATTTCAGTGCTGCTCCTGTCTCGAGAGGAACGAAGAGTAGAGGAAGGACCCCACTCAATCCCACCATAAGAGAACCAATCAGAGAACAGATCCAGGCATCTAGGCGTTCTTCACTGAATACAGCTCCCCAGGACTCAGCATCTTTTTCACACAGGGAGCTCGTCCCATGGGTTGCCTGGCTCAATGGAAGATCCTGGGCCTGACAGACGGCACCGAGCAACAGGAAAGAGAGAATTCCACGGCGGAGCAACCTTTCCCCCATCGTGACTCTGTGGAATCAGCCTGGCTGGATAATCCCTGAAAGCAAGAGAGAAAAATCAGATTTATGTTTGTTTTTTTACTATCAGTGAGTTGAAAATCACCTCTCTCACAGCATCTATTCTCCTTGTTCCCATTCAGATTACCTCTCTTTTTATTTCAAGGAGAGCAACGTTAATCCAGTTTTGTTTATATTAAATAGGGAAATGTCACTCAGCGCCATTCCTGATTGACTAGTCTTATGTACATAAAAGGCAAAAATATTTACCCCTGCCATACCCAACCCACCACAGAATTATAATAGGGATAGTGATAGGGCACACTCATCTGCCAAGAAAAACCTTTACTTGTAAAGAAAGAACATTGGAAAAAAGAGGATATATGCCTTTGGCTCAGCTGAGAAACCAATTGCCAGTTAGCTCTTCCTCCTTCCTGAACGGATTCCATCCACCAGGCCTTAGGGCAGAAGAGACATACCGTATATGCCGGCGTCTTAGGCGACCCGGCGTATAAGACGACCCCCGTCTTTATAGCTGGGCCGCATTCCTAGAACGTCGTCTTATACGCCGGAAACTACCGGTATTTCCGGCGTATAAGACGACTCCCATCTTTGGCGCCGATTTCAGCGCTCGCGGAAGTCGTCTTATACGCCGGCATTTACGGTAGTTAGGAGGAGACATCCATTCTTGTGCTCCTTGAACCCTCAGCACTTTTCTATACTGTTGACCATGGTATCCTTCTGAGTTCTCTCTCTCTCTCTCCCTCTCCCTCCCTCTCAATGGTGAGATCAACCATTGGTTTGGGTTCAGTATCATCAGTAAGATGCAGTATCATCAGTTGAGGGACTGTCTGTTTCTCATAACATCTGCCCAGCCAACTCAATCCTGCAGGGTTTGGTGCACTCCAGGTTCCTTCGATTAAACAAGGTAACCTACTGAGACCTCAGAAGTGCACCTTTTCTGCAGCAGTGCCTGCCCTCTGGAAGTTCCCCACCCCCACCCCAGATCCAGATGGCCCAGTTCTGCTGTCGTTTAGAAAGACCTGGTTCTTCACTCAGCCTCTGTCAGGGGAAAGTGAGACCCTTTGCTTCATTCCATCTTGTCTATCGTGCTTGCCATCTTTTACCTTTAGTTTTCATGTTTCATTGATTTTATTGTAATCTTTTGCTTGTTGTGATATGCCCAGAGTCACTGGGAGTTGGGCAGCATGCAAGTTTAATAAATCATCATCATCATCATCATTACATTTTCAGCAGTTGCATTTACAGAAACTAAGAACATTTGGGATCTCTACAAATCTGATGATATTCAAACCAAATACATACTTTTCTGATACATATACTACTGTGGGAAGTCAGAGCCCCCCAGAAAAGGAAATATTAAAAGGGGAGAAAAATATATTTTTCCTCAAAAGGATTTTTAAAAGCAGAAACCAACCCAGCCCCCAAGTCTCTCTCTTTGCCCCAAGCAGGAGCCAGCCCTATACAAATACAAATGTAACCATCAGAAAGTTGGAGCCAGAAAACTCAAGGAGACAAAGAGACCTAAAATATGCATATCCCACCTGAGATGGGATAACCCTTTACCATCAAGTATACCAGAGAGTCACACCTAAACTCAGGTCAGAATATGTGACACAGGAAATAGCCTCAAAGTTCATGCCACAGGAACAGGAAACTATTCCAAACAAAAGACTAGAGAGGGTATAAAAACCTACTGCCCATGTGCTCAGGTCCTTCTTTCCTCTGGTCTTTCCTACAAGAACCATCTTTCTGCTTCTTCAATAAACTGTAACCATCTTCCCAAAGCAGTCGCCAGGTTGCTTATTTATTCCCGGCTTGGATGAACCAGGATGAAGACTTTACTTCCAACACTACAATAGCCTCACATGGCCAAATGGTCCCTTTAAACCAGTGGTCTTCAAACTTGGCCCTCTTACGACTTGTGGACTTCAACTCCCAGAATTCCTCAGCCAGGCACGCTGGCTGAGAAATTCTGGGAGTTGAAGTCCACAAGTCATAAAAGGGCCAAGTTTGAAGATCCTTGCTTCAAATAATCAAATTAAGCCATGTTTGATTAGTCTTCTCTAGAAAGAAAATAAAAAATTAAATCCTTCCTCCCAAACAATTTCAAACAATTCCCTAACACAGAAATAAACTTATGTTGATGTCATAGTCAACACATATTTATGACTTCTGGCTGACTATATCTGACATATGGTATTAAAACTTAGAGTGAATTTCTATGAGACACTTGAGTACTTTTCCATTCAGCACATACAATCCTTCTATCAGCAGTGAATGGTCCCATTCATTGAACTGCCTATAAGTGAAAGCCAACTAGTGTAGGCAAAACACTCTGCAACACAAATTGTGTGAGCCTACCATTGGTCACAATTAAACAATTGTTTTAAGGAGCAGTCTGGGGTAGCAATGTTAATTTTTCAGCCATCCCTCTATTAGAAGACAGATCTGTATGTTCCATCTGGATTCTCTCCAAAATTTGGTAAGGGATTTTATCCTATGGCTGGATTAAGTAAGAGCCAGTTGTCAATCTGGTTACTGTTTATACATGGAATTAACCTGAATACTCCTTCAGATCCCTGGACATCTGAAGTAGTAAAAGAGAAGTTAAGAAAAAGACTCCTCCAGAGTTTATTTTTAAGTCAGTTCTTTTTTTATTTTTACTTTCAGGAGTCTTCCGTGCCCCCCCTCTCTCACACACACATGCACACACACACAGACACAATACATGGAAGTCCTTTTTTTAGATGCCACGCCTATAACAAACAAATGAACAAACAGTCATTTGCAAAAGGATGCTAAAATAGAACTCCTGTTTACATGGACCATACCCTCTTATGCCAGATTCTAGGAGTAAGCAAAGCATATCTTAATTAATTCCACTCAACAGTATTAAATGAACAATTTGTTAAAACCACCAAAAGAATTCTAATAGCCTCAATACCTTTGGGAGCATGGGAAATAATGGTAGTACCCGGATATATATCTGGGAGTTTATTTTTTATTTATTGCTGTTGTTGCTGCTGCTGTTACTGGACACATACCCTCATGAATTACTATTTGGGAGGCAGAGCTGAGTCAAGCAGGGAATCCAGCCAGACCAGAAGGTGGCAAAGATATCAGTTCTCTTTCTGAAACCCCCTTTTTTCTTTTTGACTCCCTTCTTTTTCTTCCTCCCAAGTAGCAGGCTGCAGAGAAGAGACAGATATCTCTTATCAGCAGCATGAACTCATCTTAGGATTTTGAAATTCCTGTAAATCAAAATCAGTGTGTGGGTCTAATGCCTTAATTTTTTCTTTGCTGCATGGACACTATCAAGATAAGTTATTTTTGAGTCAGCCACAAGTTATAGAGCATTATCTGTAAGCTGTGTTACTATCAAACTATAGCTAGTAGTGACTGGGAGCATGAAGCAAGAGCAGTATGCTTCTATGTGGAGCAAGACAAGAAATACTTGTCCTCCACAAATGGTGGTGGTAACAAATTGGGACAACAATCTCAAATTATAATTGGGAAGCCCTTTATGCAAGGCCCACCACTACCTTCTTTTAACGTGATCTCTACTGTTATTTTTTTATTAAATAAAAACTAACTAAAGGGAAATTATACAGAAGTATTGCATTCCTATTTTAACTATGCTTCTAATTATAACACAAAGACTCTTACGTACACATACGCAGTCTATGGACATTATGCATGCATTTTCCTTAAGATGAGACATCAAGGGAAACATTTTTAGAGCTCCTTGCAGTTCAAATAAATGGTTTCCAAAGGAGGGGGAAAAAACCCTCACATATTCCTCTAGAAATCATCAAAATTCAGATGAGCAAGTTCTGCCTGTCAATCAATTTGACTCAGCCTGTGATTGCCCAGGGAAAAAGCTTGAATGCAAAAACATACAGTCTCATGACCTAAGCACACATCCAGAGGCTGACTCAGAGCACATTCCATGCTGAAATTCCAAGGAAAGGTTTTTCTCCGAGCAATGGTGATATGACTAGCTGGGGAGCAGCTGTCTTCCTAAAGGCATCTTATCTGTTGAAGACCTTAAACAAAATAAACTGCAGGGTGTGAATAATTTCTCCAAGTCAGTGAGAACAACATGTCACTGGAGAAACAAAACTAGATGAGAAAACAATAATATGGCTTTTATTGGCGTATCTATTTGAATGATTTAAAACAGATTTTTTTCAGCCTACTGTCCTTCAAACATTTTATGACTACAACTCCTAGAATTCCTGAACTGCATAATTATAGGCTATTTTGAATATTCTTGCTTGGGGCTGTGTTCTATGTCACATTTGTCCCTCTGGCTAAGCCCGACATTTTCAGAGCTTGCTCTACTCATCAAATTTAGAGGTGGGAGGATTCCAGATGTCATCATTTTCCAAACTTTCCCATATTTTTCTGGCCTTTCCTCCATCTTTATTTTTTTTTAATTACACAAATTCCACTAAGGGGAAAAAAAAAAAAACAGAATAGCTGCACAGTGTCTTCTAAGCTGCTTGCAACGACAGCTTTCTGTCCTCAGCTAAGCGTCTACTACTTTCCTACACACACTGGCTATTGCTACTGGAAATGTAAGCTTGTACCTCATCCAATAAAAAGAAGGAGCAAAAGAGGAAATAGTCCAGAATATTAATCACATGGGAGATTTTTGGAGCTGTTAGATGGTACAGTCAGAACTTCTCCTCTTGGTTTCCTCCCTACTAATGCAAAGCTGAGAACAGGATGTCCATTAACATTTTTTTCCAGCTGATCTCTTGTCCAACAAGCCATTCTGAAAAATGAAAGAAATTACAGGCACACTTTTTGGGAAGCCCATGGCTTGTCTATAATTATGCAAGTGCTTGCAGACAAAATGTCATCTTATTTTCTACAGCGGAAATAGAAATAGCAATGAGCAAATTCATTCCCAGAGCTTTTTTTATAGTTCAGCAATAAGTGCCTGCAATTCTACTGAAAATCCTGATCTTCTGCCAACAGCTACAGCTACATAGCTTCCAATCATTTTAGCTGCACCACTGAGAGATTCAAAACATCCCCTCAGGATTTTTCCATTCTCAGCATCTTCCCTAATGACTACAGTATCCCCATTCCCATATAGCACTTCTAATCCTACAGGTGCACAGTCTTCCATCCTTTGTTAAATAAAAATGAAATGCATTACAATTTTAGATTACTTTTGATCAAGCCCTTCCACTAATACACTGAGATCTGATCTAACCTTTTGTCTGACCCATTCCTTAAAGGTGCCAGATGGCAATACTACTCCATCTATCAAAAAAGAAAAAAAAAACCCTTTTCTTTCTAAATACTTTGCAGTATTTAGTCTGTGTGTTTACTGTTTTTTTTACTGTTTTTTTTTCTAGTTCTGCGAGTTGCAAACAGACAAGTTCTGCCAGAAACCAATCACTGGAAATCTTACTAGATCCTAGATTAAGACAGATATTTTTCAAGTTAAGCAGTGTGATTTCAATCACAAAGCCAAGAAACAACTGAAAACATTACAGAAACTTAATTCTCATCCCATAAATTCTGTTTTTCTACACTTCTACAGAATCATGTAAATAGAATGCAATATGTATTATCAGTATAATTTGCCAATCAGATGGCAATAGATCCATGAACTCAAATTAGCCAACAATAATCCACTTGCAGTAGAGAGATCATTTCCCTAAACTGTCTAGATTGAGTATCTAAACAAAGATACTAATTCTTTTTTTCTGAATATCTTTTATAATCTTTTTGCAACCAATGCAAAAACCAATTACCATGGATACTCCTAGGTATAACTTATGACAAACCCCATTTAAAACCATCTACAGTACTGGTACCCATCATATCACTGGGTCAGGATTTTTCTAAGTTACAGATTATGTACATAAATAATTTTTCTTTTCACTACTTAAAATACGTTGGATACATTTCTACTTTTAATTAAACCAGAAAAGGCATTATATTAATTTTTTCTCCACATCTCCTTGATGCTAAATTGCAGTCTTTTGGGAAAAAAAGGGGAAATATCAAATCAAAATACTGTCCTTAATAATCTCCTTCCCCGGATAACAGGATAAGCTATATAAACTAGGCCTGGCTGAAAGAAGACTGAGGTATGTATCATTTCAATCTTTAGTTGGCCAGGCTGGAGTGGCCAACTATCATCTGTAATATCAACACTGCCTCCACCCCGTGAATTGGTTCCTGTGTTTATCTAGTGCCAATCAGATGTACTGAACTATTATTCTTACAACTCTTATAAATAACATCCAACTTTAATCATTCTAAATGGAAGCTATGGATTTTGTTTAATTCAGCAATTCTGGAAATCACCATAAGAAAATTGTGACATGCAATTAAACTGGATTCCATGTCATTGACATTTGACATCACTATTTTACCTCCCTACTCCATTCTTATGTCTATTTTACACATCAGACAAAACTGCATATGATGAAGTAAACTTTAGTCCACAAAAGCTTATGATACAACAAATCTGTTGCCTATTTCACTCTTACATCTGATAAGGCCTATAGTTCTAGATGATCAGAATCCATTAAACATCACAATATGATATCCACTTAATTGTTTTTCCAGGACAGCTATTTCCATGACCCATTCCATTAATTTACTTCTGAATGTATAAACTATTGGACAAATTTGACAGGAGCAGCTGGCATGTTTAAACTACTGCTGATGTAAAATAAGGAAACAAATATTGAATGTAAAATCAGATAATGACTACAGGTAAGATTAAGTATGGCTGATGTGAGAGTCAACATCACAGTGATATCTTTCATTTAAAACAGTTGTAGTTTTATCTGTAGAATAAGTTGTATTTTTTCTGGATACTACTATTGACAGCTTAAATAGAAAGGTAAGTAATGATGTCCACAAAGTTTGCATTTTAGCACACTATCTTGATAATCTATGATTCTGACTGGTTAAAACTTTGATCAGTTGAGTCTTTGGGCTATTTTCTATCTGAAGATAAAATGATGAGGTTTGAAGACAAATGTCCCAGCCCTTTCCCACAGGGTTAGAGAGGAATTCGAAATTAATTCTAAACACTCTGGAAGTCTACAAGGCTCACTATCATAAAAGTCTAGCCTTTAAATAGCAACCGACCAGGCTTTAATTAAAGACAGGGATAATGAAACTATGTGCAAGAGCAGCAACGGATTTAAACGTGGAAGGAACGCAAAAGCCGCCTTAGCCCCAGGCATCAAGCAATTTAGTTGGGTTCCTGTTCTCCACTGTTACTCGGGCAGAGAAGGCATCTCTCGCAGCATCCTCATCGACTCCACGCCAGCGCGCGTATTGCCCTCAAACAGCCCCTGGCCCGACCCGGTCCAATCTCTCAGCCCGCCCCCCCAGGAGGGAAAGGGAAGCTGCTTTCTCCATTAGGGACGATTCCGACCTATATTCTCACCCCCCCCCCCCCGAATAGGGCTGAATGCGTTACCGTCTGACACCCGGGAGCTCCAGATTGCCCCTGCCATCCAGTGCGCCTCCGCTCTGCACTCTCCCGCCCCAGCTCCGCCTCCCAAACTTAGCCACGTCGGACTCATCCCCCTCGAATCCAGCCTCCCCACTCCGGCGGAGGCTTTAGCAGATGTACCACTTCCGACGTAGTTACTGAAGGGGGAACCTTAGTCAAGTCGCACTTCGTATCTGAGCCGATACTAAAGGAGTAGGAAAAGCGGGGACGCTTTTCGGATCGGAGCTGGGAACCGACGCCTTCCAAAACTGCTCGCGTTCGTAGAGTTTGTTTTGTGAATCGGATTGGAGTTCTGATCCCTCTTTCTGCAGTGTGGGCCTCGAGTGACTTCACCTTTTGGATCACATCCTCGTCCCCTCTCCCGCGGCCCTATGATGCCTATCTCGAGCGGGGCAAGCAGTCTGCAGCTACGGCGTGGGTTTTGTGCAATTCAGACGGATGACGATTTGCGGCTGCGGTTAACGGCAGGGTTGCGCTCGCCTACTTCTGCTGGACCTCTTGGACAAGGAAGGCAGTGTTCCCTGGTTGCTGTGTTGTTGCACGGGATCCAGTGGGGCTTATCCTCACAATGGGGTCACTTAGGAAGATAAGGAAAGATCTAGCTATTAAAGCACAGGGGAAGCCGGGAAATCTTGGTCTGCCTCTGTCACACCAGCATCACCAGTCCACGAGAGTAATATAATTTTTCAGATTTTTGGATATCAGATGAGTTGAATTATTTAAAACAGTCTGAAAGCAGTGCGCCTTAGTGTTTGTTGCTGGCTAAAGTTCTTGTTAAGACCTGGATAAAGGCATGCAGCTTGTAACTGGTAATAGACTTGCCCTGCACCTATCTAGCATTTGTTGAATGATAATTTATGGATATTTGGATGAGGACCAGGGTCTCTCCTGTTTGCAGATGATTACAGTTTCTGTAATCTCCAAGAATGCTGCCTGACACCAGGCTGAATAAGAGAACATGTTATAATGAAAAATAAAATACCCAATAGCAGAATAAGGACATTTTCTCCCTATTGTTTTTTTTTTTTACTTTTTAATGATATTCCTACTGTCATAAGGATTTTCAAGTTGTCTGATGAAAGATAGATACTTAGGAAGTTGGAGGGCATAAGATGAAGTCTACAAGGCTCATCATCATAAAAGTCCAGCCCTTAAAAACCAATTGACTTGGCTTTAATTAATGACAGGGATAATGAAAATATGTGCAATAAGAGCAACGGAATTAAACGTGGAAGGAACCCAAGAGCCACCTTAGCCCCAGCAATTGAGCTGGGTTCCTGTTCTCCACTGTTGCTCAGGCAGAGGGCATCTCTTGCAGCATCCTCTTTTAGGGATACAGATGTAATGAGTCTGTATCAAATGAAACATCTTGATGGATAGCTTGGAATATTCCTAATTGTAGCCTGTTACCAGGAGAACCTATCCCATGTTCAGCTGGCAGCCTGGTATGCCAGCTATGATTTTACTGGGGCCAAGATAGACTTATCTCAGTGACCCATTTCCTGTTAATTCTTTTTAACCACTCTAGGCTACAGGTACATAAAAGATTCCTTTCTCATTTCTCTCAACACCATTATTTAAATTATGCTTGAATGGCTTTACTTGTGCTACCTGAAGGGGTTTTCTTTTCCAGTGTGGTAATCAGAATAGAGCCTTCTTAGGAACAATAGCCCATTTACGAAGTGAACAATTGGCTCAAAGTGAACAATTGGCTAATCCACACACTATAAACTGACTCTTTACTGAAGTATTTATGGCATAACAACTTTTTCATGACCAGATGTAGATGACCCAGCTGAGCCTGAGGGTGGGGTCAAATACATCAACAGTTTAGAGTCGCTACATCCTCATAAGAGATATAAGTCCAGCCCCCTCACCCCTGAAGTTAATTGACTCTTATCTGGAACCAATTTGCTTTGACTGCTAGTAGAACAGATTTGTATGTATAGGTTGTGTGGAATAAACACCTAATGCTGTTGAACTCTAACCTGGCTTCTGATTTCCTGCGCCTGACACCAAATTGCTTAAGGCTTTTCTATTGCTTTTTTTTTAAAAATGTTTTATTTCTGTTATTGTTTTTTTCTATTGTGATCATTTTATTTAAGATATTTTTGGCCTACTGGTATAAACCACTGTGGGATCTTCAGAGGAAAAGCAGATCAGAAATAAATATTGTATTTTTTTATTTTTAACTTATTTGATGTGCCTATGGTCATTGAGACTCAGACAGCTTACACGTTTAATACATTATGATGGTAGCATAATCAACCAGAAAATGAAGGATTGTAACATCAGAGAATAACCACACAGAGGCACCATTTAGCTATACAGTTTGGTGTTTCTGGCCTTTCACACCTCCTCATTTCTTTCTCTCTCTCTTTAAGGTTGAGAACTGCTGCTCTTTTATATGGTTTGGACAAAAATATCCACACTCTCTGATCCTCCTGGCAAATAATCTGAAAGGATGCATTCTATAAACTGGAGGCAAACAAGTTTCTTACTCTTACTAAAAATAGATATATCTAGCTTTTCATTCATAATTTGCAAAGCATTGATAACTTTTAAAACTAATTGAAACTAAAACCATCAGGAGACTTAAAACATCACTGGTAAAAGTTTTACTCTCGTTTTTAATGAAAGCATATTTTGGATGATAAGAGCATATATCTACTGCCACGTCCCTGCGGGAGTCGGCTGAAGCTACCATACCTAAAGATGAAAAAGGCATGTAAGTGGGGTAGACAAGAGCCAGGAATGTAAGAGAGCCCTTCAGGGAGGTAGTTAAAAAGAAATCAAGTCATTAAGGAAACAAAAGATAAAATGTCGCCTGAACCAGACATAGTTGGGCCTGGACACATGAGAACCCTCCCCCCCCCCACCACCAACACTTACCAGATATGAAAATCAGTAAGCAAGAGTAGCTCCCAGTTTTGTGAATCAGCAAGGCAAGGGCTTCTGGGGATAAAAGGGGTCCTGAAGCCTGCCCACCTGAGTCATCTTTGGATCCAGATTTGGCAGCTTCTTTCCCTCCGGCTAGTGCCTCCCACCTTAATTGAGAAGGTCATGGGTAAGTGTGGATGTGTGTGTGTGCTCGCGAGAATGAGAAAGAGCATTATAACCAGTAAAGTTTTGCTGTTATTTTAATTTCATTGGGTCTCCAAAGAAGTGGTTGTGCCTTATGTTTGGTTGAAAGTGATTTGAGTGTGGCTATTGAGCAGGGCTATGAGTGTGTGTGTCAGTAAGTGACCATAAGCTGAACCTGGGTGTGCATGTAACACCTGCCCCTCCAAAAAAAAACCCCAAGCTCTTGATGCTAAGGTTATATATTGGTGTGTTAAGGCTTCCCACAAGTTTGCAATTTTTACTGAACATACTGTTCAAACATTGCTCTGGGTGTTTCTTCTATTGGGTAATGGTGAGAGGGCAAATTCCTGACTCAGCCCCAAACAGCAGAAAAAAGGGGAACTCCACAGATGGGAAAATATTGTAACTTTAAATATTTTTAATGGGCAGGATCACTTTGATTTTCCAGTATTTTTTTCCAGTGCAGCTGCTGTTTCCCAGGCACATATATTAATGAAATCCCTGTATGTGTTTTGTTCATGACATTAAAAGTTCACCTGTATCAGTGGACTTCCTTGCTCAAATGACATTGTCATGAATATCTTTGATATCTTTGAGCAGATTTATCTGACAGGAGAGTCAAGCAAGGTATCTTTCTGCTGATATTATATTGATGATAACAAAAACTGAGAAATGGGAAGAGATGGAAAAGGAAAGAAGGTTGAAAGTCACACTGTATAATTTGTCTTTTTAATTCACGCACATGGAAAGAATACAGTTCTGTCTCTCATATCATTAGACTGACCATAATTGTTCAAGATGTTTCTCAATCAGCCTTACCTGATAATCTTTTAATTGGATTTGCCTAAAACTGAAACTCAAATCTGATATAAATAGAGTATGTACTCTTCTATGGAGTTAATGTTTCTGTACTGAAAATACTAATTGTCTTGATGTCAGGATATTGGTCTTTTACCATATCAGCTAACAAATTGGGATTGTTTGAAAGGAAAATAAAGCCATTTTTTCCATGGCTAAAACTTTATCTTTTCTCTATATGATCTCTTTAGATATATTTCATTCACAATTATTCTGCTTTAAGTACTATTGACCAGTTTATTGACCAAATAAATTACTGGAGATTCCTCATGTCAGTAGGATGGGAAAATAGACCAAAATCATCCTCTACAAAGGCAGCTACTGGAAACTCATTACTAGAACAAACTAGAAAGATTTGAATGGGAATTTGGCTGAAGAGGGTTGCAGGGCATACCCCAAACAACATGGACATTAGGAAAGCATTATAATAATCCCTTGAGAGGCAATCTGGTGTAGTGGTTAAGGCATTAAACTAGAAACAGGGAGATCATGAGTTCTAGTCCTGCCTTAGGCACAAAGCCAGCTGGGTGACTGGACCAGTCACTTTTTCTCAGCTGTTAGGAAGAAGGCAATGGCAAAGAAGGTTCTGAAAAATCTTGGCAAGAAAACTGCAGGGACTTGTCCAGGCAACCTCCAAGAATTGGACAAGATTGAATGGAAGAAAATAGAATTGTTCGCCTCCAGTGTCTACACAGTGACTGTCTTCCTATCTAAAAAGACCATGTTGACCTGTTGCATATACAAGCTTTTTTCCTTATTGGAAGAGAAAGGGAAGGGACTTAAGCGATTTGCTAAACTGAGATGCATCTGGCAAGACAAAAGGTCCCTGGACAGGATAGCTGAAATGCTTCAGGAAGGGTAAAGAAGTGAACAGCAAAAAACAGAGAAAATTCCACTCAAGGCAAATATGAGGAAGAATATGACCGCATGCGATTTTGAATGAGAATTGAAGTTGAGTAACTTTTGTAATCATACTTATGTTTGCTTGTACAAATGTAAAATCCCTCCTTCCTTCCTTCCTTCCTTCCTTCCTTCCTTCCTTCCTTCCTTCCTTCCTTCCTTCCTTCCTTCCTTCCTTCCTTCCTTCCTTCCTTTTAACTTTCTTTGTACCTTTCATGTTATACTCTTGCAAATAACTAT